ACAGAGTTCCCCCATTGAGGGGAGATGGGTGGTTGAAAAATTTAATAAATAAACAAACAAACAAACAAACAGGGAAATTTATTTTTAATTCTCTACCATTGTGAAATTGCAAATAGCTCATCAAATCAGCCTCTATGATTTCCTTAGTCAGTCTCATTAGGGCTGACTGGGCTTGGAGCAGTGTTTCAGAATCAAAAGTCCTGCCACTGAAGTTGTATTTCCTGTAAGAAATTGAAAACCTTTGCCACTAAATTGGTGTTTAAATTATCTCTCAGAGCAAAATACAAGACGTGACATTAATCCACCTGGGCCTCAAACTGTACCCTCTTGCACCGCATGTAGTTTTCCAGAAACTGTGGCTGTGCAGCCCTACTTGTATTTACTCCTGAACGCTATGTGCATGGAGACTGACCTTTCATCCATCCCAAAATGGTTGGCATTGCAGGCACCAATCTTGGATTGAGATAATTTTCTTCCAGGGCAGATGGGTGCAGTAGGACAAAAGGAAAATTCACCTATGGAAATCTGGTTTTATAGTAACCTTGTTTTTGAATGATAAAGTGACACAAAACATTTATTTTTGTTGTAGCAGTCTAATGGCTTTAGGGCTGGTTGGACTTCAGGAATGTTCCTCAAGAAATTCTGCTCAGAGGAACTGGGCTTCCTCTGGATGGTTTGGATTTATTTATAGAACACCATTCCTATAGCACCGTTCTTATAGCAAAATTGGACAACAAAAGCATTCTTTTCCATAAAGCTTGCTTTTTACTGAACAAGATATCACTTGAGTCTTGTACGTCAGGAAAATAGGGCTGTGTCCTGATATCGTTACAGAATATCTCTGCTGCCTCAAGGCAGTTGTAGCAATCCAAAGGAAATAGTCCTTGTGCGCCCTGGAATCATGTTAACAAATTCCAGGCCTGCATAATAAAACAGAATGTCCAAAGATGGTAGGATATTTTTCTTATCTAGGCAGAGGATATTAATTTTGGCACTGTGAGCAATTTTAAGGAGTTGCTACAATCACTATTCAGAAACGTGCTCCTCTTGCTTCTTAAAATAAGCATAATCCATTTTGGAATTAATAAAGCAGATGAATAGAGTTGCACCTGAGGAAATTAAGGGAAAGATTCAAAA